ATAAGTGGGCCCAACCCTACGGGAATGTTATGATCCAACCATGGTCTTACAATCACTCCTATGTTACGACCCAGTCGTAACCTTTCTGCCATGATCCAACCATGGTCTTTCATGCAAGTCACATAGACAAACAAATGATATGATCCAACCACAGTCTTTAGTACAAGTGTTGTGATCCAACCACATTTTTTCATATAGGTGTTGTGATCCAAGCATAATCTTTTATACATGTGTTGTGATCCAACCACAATCTTTCATGCAAGAGTCACTAAAACAATCTAACAACCTACATAGTATAGTGAGAAGTTTCTCCTGTATTACGAACTTAGATAAAATACAGCTCAATGCCACGAAGCTGGTGCTACAACACTTATCGAATCAAACAAGGTCCAACCTTATTCTATACTCTAGCAATTTGACCAAAATTCAACTCAAATCAACAAGTCAACGGTCAAGATCAAAGCCAACGGTCAACATTTCCACTAGTTGACCCTCACGTCATGACCATCCCATGGTCATGTCGTAAGAAATATACTCAGCCCAGTCCCAACTCGGTCACGATCCAACTTAGTCAACTTATTCTCGATCCAGGCTTTCATCACCTTGTGATGGACAGGTCATCACGCCATGACAATATATCTCCAAAATAGCAGGGAAATTCCCCAGTCGTTACGTCGTGACAAGGAAGCTAGCACGTCTTGAGACTGACTTTCCATAGCTTAATTGATTTATCCATCTATTCATTAAGCCATTTACTCATTCATTACAGAAGGCTACCTAACGTCCCACACAACCTAAAAATCGATTCTTTTCAGCCATGCATGCCCATTGTGAATCTAAAGCTCAAACTAGGTTAAAAATGGGAAAACATCACGAAGGATCTCATGCATGGGCTTAATACACTAGAAAATTCCAGATCTGAACCATATGATATATAAAGGATCTCAAGGATCCATACAATTGCTAACTTTATGGAATCCTACCATTCCAACTAGCTCATACTTGAAGAATTTGGAATAAAACTTTAGATCTAGCAACTTAGAGTAATAAAGTTTGGGTCTTGAACACTTACAAAGGTCCAAGGATACCCAAAATGAAGTCCCAAAGCCTGCCAAGATGCACACAATACTATCCAATACTTTTTTCTTCCTTCAAAAGCAACCAAAAGCACCAAAATGAGCTCAAAAATATAGGAGATGGATTAGGGTTTCTTCAACAGGTTTTGGAGGTGATGGAGGCTAAGGGTGACGAAAACCCTAGCCCATCACGTCCTTTAAATATGATCCAAGTCTGAAATTTAGGGTTTGCCTCTGATCCGGTGTCATGTCGTGACTAACATAGTGTCACTTCGTGACACTTAAATGATCATCCCATTTTCGCGGCCATGTCACAAAGTGACGGTGCTTCCTTTACGGCGTGGCCCACTCAAAACTCATATTTTACTTCAAAATTCAAACCTCGAGGACCCGAATGTTACATTCCTAATGTCCATTACTACCTAAAGATCGTTGCTTTTCATCCATACATGTCCATTATGAGTCTAAAGCTCAGACTAAGTCAAAATGGAGAAACAACACCAAAGATCTCATGCATGGGCTCAATATACTAGCAAAATCTAGATCTGAGCCATATGATATACAAATGACCTCAAGAATCCATAAAGTTGCCAACTTTATGGAATCTCACCATGTCAAACTGCTCAAACTTGAAGATAAAGGGACAAAAGCTTAGATCTAACAACTGAGAGCAATAAATTTCGGGTCTTGAACACTTACAAAAGGTCTAGAGATGCCCAAATGAAGTCCCAAAGTTTTCCAATATGCTCACAACACTATCAAGGCCTTCTTCTTCCTTGAAAAGCAACAAAAAGAACCAAAATGTGCTCAAAAATTAAGGAGAGTAATTAGGGTTTCTTCAAGGGGCTTAGGAGGTGATGGAAGTTAAGGGTGAAGGAAACCTTAGCTCCTCACTTCCTTTAAATATGGTCCAAGTCCGAAAATTAGGGTTTTCCCCTGATCAAGTGTCACATCGTGACCATCATAGTTTCACGTCGTGACACTTAAATGAGACTCCCATCTCTTGCGGCCATGTCACGACGTGACCTACCCAAAACTCATATTTTACTTAAAATTTCATACCTCGAGGATCCATATGTTACAATTTCGTTCATTAGACAAACCCTTTTTTTCTGTCAAATTGGTTTTATTCCTATCTTGTCATTCAACTTATGTGCGATCAGTTCTTTTGGTACTCCAATCATGTCTACCGACTGCCAAGCGAACACGTCGATATTTTTTAATACTTTTGTTAACTCTACACTTAACTTTTTTTGTTAATGTTTTCCATATCCGTATTCCTTGCTCTGGGTACGTATCATTTATTTCCACAAACCTTTATTCCATAATGTAGTAATTGTTGCTCTACTGGCATTGGATTTGCCTTTTATGCCATTAACGTTGCTATACGTGCGACCATGGTTGTAGAACTCGCTACTCGGTACCTGTACGGCTGACTACCGAGTAGCGAGTACTCAGGGGTACTCGGGGAGTACTCAGATTCGGTAATTCATGTAGAAATATTTTTAGGGAAATTATATATGTCAAAATCATAAGTTAAAACCATAAGTTGATTGAAATATATAACAAAATCAGATACATGTGAATACACAAAAACTAAAAAACACACAATGGTCCCACTTCGTGAATAATTATTGAACATTTAAGATATATATGTAGTAATAATCACATATGTGTGTGTGTGTTAAATTATAAATGATTAAGTAAATCATACATATTAATCACCGAGTTGGCCGAGTTTTACAGCACTGCTCACTTCAATAAGCGGCCGATCGGGGAGTACTCGGATTTTGTAACTCGCCTCGGTAAGGGGCCGAGTAGCGAGTACTCGGACGAGTAATCGGCCAACTCGGCGAGTTTTACAACACCGCGTGCGACCAATGGTTTACTATATATCGTTACATGCCCTGTTGTGGTCCTGAACCTTATCAAGCCATGAATTGTTGATGCAATAGCCTCCAATTTCTTCATTTCACTTCTCTCGAATATTATATTGCACGGTGATGGCGACTGTATTACCTTGAAATCTAACATTTGAGTATTCTTTGCATGCATGTGATGTCATGCAGGGTTAGTGGCAAACACTGTATTCCTAAGGGACATACTAAATGTCCGTCAAACTTGTTAGGTGCACGTCAGGTTGTTTAAGCTTTTTTGTTATTGAATTTGGCAATCTTGAGAAACAATGACTGTACATTATCTCAGTTGAACTCCCGCTATCGCAGTATATCCAATGTATACCTATGACATGGATTTCTCCATATATATAAGGATTGCTTCATCACTTTGTACTTGATTTTCTTGGTTTAGTTGTATACCACGCATCTTGTGTGAGCATGTTGTATTGTTGTTTCTACTGTCTAGTGGAATCTGATTGTGAGCCCAATGATTTGAAGTTATTTTTCCATCTTTCGCTTGTACTATATGGATGGTGTCAATGTTGTTACGTGATCTTCTGACTACCTAGATAGATGGTGTTTGCTGACCCTTTATAATGAGTATTCTCGAAGATATGTTGCAAAAGATGAACAATTGCTAGGTTAGAAAGCTACACCGAGGGTTAGACCCCGATGTTGCTCTCTGATGCCTAAGTTAGACGTTGTATGAGGCTTAAGAAATAAATTGCTAAGAGTTCTTTGGGTCCTCTCCGGAACTTACCTTACTATCTGATCTTCGGGGGATTTTATACCTTCCTTTATTTTTAGGTATTTTGTTTTATCCGGTCCCTCACATTGTCTAGGTAAAACCAGCTAACTAGTTGTGTACAACCTTTATATTTTATTGTCAAGATCTTTTGTACACGCGATTATGGGATATGTCTCATATGTTGTCTCTTAACCGTTGTGCTTTGGTATTGCCTTTTGGATCCAATTTCGACAATATTCTTTTTTCAGTTTATGGAAATAAGTCGTAATTTGTCAGGTCTGTATGCCTATTACCGACTAGGCCTATATTCTTTCATCATTCTGCTGGATACGAGTAGGACTGAGCTGGTCGACTGGCCCGGATACACCATTAAAACACATGGACAATTCATGTAATTTATTCTATTATTTTATTAGAGCATTTATAATAATATATTTTGGAAGATTTTGTAAATCCTAAAATTTTGAAAATAATAAAACTAATGGATGAACCGTTTTCAAACGATTTTTTTCATTGTCATATGTGTTTTTTTTTAATGATTTGGTTAGTTTGATATATTTTTAACCGATTATAAATATATAAACTATTATAAGTCTTATATATTCTAATAAATTAATATCTTTTTTGCCGCATGTCACATTGTTATTCATTTTGTCGCATGTTATTTTTTGATTATTTTAGATTATTTTTTATTCCACATGTTATTTTATGGTTTTTCCATTTTATTAAATTCTACATGGTATTTAAATGTAATAATAAATGAATATCAATTTCATTATTGGACTTTCTTTCCAATTTCAAATTTTCTAAATTAAAGTCTCATTATTTTCCTTTGTTTATTTGTATAAATTATTTGTTTAAATTTAAAAGAGAAAAAAACATTTAATTTTAATAATTCATTATTTTTCTTATAAATTCAAATTTTTCAAATGTTTAAAATTTCATATTTAATTTTTCTTTTAAATACACCGTTGTAATATTTGGATCTCACTACCAATAAATAAATAAATTAAAAAATCTCTCCTAGTTATAAATATAAAATAATAAATTTCATTTTCATATTATTGTTGGTGTCTTGGTGAAGGTACTTCCGTTCTGTTTAACGAACTTCCCTTTTGGGCTGAAATGGGCCAAAAGAATCTGCAGGTTTCCACCGCCCATACCCGACCCATGTAAATCGGTTATTGTACAGGGTTTTACCCTTCTTCATGACTTGGACCACAAACCAAATCCACCCCTAAAACCCTTCTTCTCCAATCTTCTTTCATTCTTCAAGAAATGGGTAGCAACCAAGCGGCAGTCTCCTTCTTGACCAATCTAGCACGCGCCGCCTTGGGCCTCGGCGCCTCAGCCACAATCCTCAATTCCTCCCTCTACACCGTCGACGGTGGCCAGCGTGCTGTCCTCTTCGATCGTTTCCGTGGAGTCATTGACGATACTGTCGGAGAAGGTACTCACTTTCTCATTCCATGGCTTCAAAAACCCTACATATTCGACATCCGAACAAAGCCCCACACCTTCTCTTCAATATCTGGCACCAAAGATCTGCAGATGGTTAACCTAACTTTACGTGTCCTATCTCGCCCCGAAGTCAACAAATTGCCCTCCATATTCAAAACCCTTGGTCTCGAGTACGACGAGAAGGTTCTTCCGTCTATTGGGAATGAAGTTCTGAAGGCTGTTGTTGCTCAATTTAACGCCGATCAGCTTCTCACCGAGCGTCCGCACGTGTCGGCGTTGGTTCGTGACAGCTTGATCCGCAGGGCTAAGGACTTCAACATTGTGCTTGATGATGTAGCGATCACTCACCTGTCTTATGGCGCGGAGTTCTCAAAGGCCGTGGAGCAGAAGCAGGTGGCTCAGCAAGAGGCTGAGAGGTCTAAGTTTGTGGTTGCTAAGGCGGAACAGGAGAGGCGAGCTGCAATCATAAGGGCTGAAGGAGAGAGTGAGTCTGCTAAGTTGATATCTGATGCAACAGCTGCTGCTGGAATGGGATTGATTGAGCTTAGGAGAATTGAAGCATCGAGGGAGATCTCTACAACCCTGGCCAGGAGTAACAATGTCATGTACCTTCCGAACACAGGGAGCCAGATGCTTCTAGGGCTTAATCCATCTCGCTAAATTGGTAATGTTACTTCTGTTCTGTCTTATCATGGTGTGCACATATGCACACCTGAGAATAAGATAACAATGTGTTGGAAGTAATGTATCTGCTCTCTAGCGTAGTTTTTTCACATCATATTCATATGTTTGGAATAAAACTAATGCTTGCCCTCTATCTAAAGAAAAATTTGCATTTGGTTTGAAGTTCTGTAGTTACAGAGAGAATTAGGAATATGTTGAAGTGGAAAATAAATTATTTGTTGATGCACTCTATTGAATAATATGCGTTCTTCCTGTAAGTGGGCATACCATAAGCTTGTCTATAAATATCAAACCTTCATTGGTCTTTCTTTCTTTCTATTCCTTTGTGCTATTAGGCTATTAGCGATACCCATCTCATAAAAACTGCAACCGTTTGTATTTTAGAATATGTTTCATGTTAATTGCAATGTTTCCTGATTATTTATGGTGATCTTTTTCCACATGCTACACCTTACCCCCTTTCTTGTCATTATTAAAACGATATTTTAAACATTTATGTGAAAACTGAATCATTAATAATATATTCATTGACCCATGGTTGTGTTTCTGAGTTGTGACTTTCTGTGGGTAGTTAGAGTTGATGTTTATGATATGAGCTATGAGTAGCAGCTGTAAATTGATACGATGGTGTTTTTTTTTTTTTTTTTTTTTTTTTTATGTTGTCAGGACTTGTTTGATTTGAAGTCGGAGTGGATTAAAGATTAGAGAGCTTTTACTTATCTATAATGGTTTAGAAGTTGAAAGAAACATTTAAAGACTTTAATTTTGTGTGATTGGCAATTGAGAATCTCCGATTTATTACTTTAATATTCTGATATGTATGATCATAAGTGATAAGACAGACGATTACACACTGCTTTACTAGCATTCCGGCTTTGCTTATTATTTTTCAGGATTTGTTAAACGTCTGTCCAATCTTGTTGTTGATTATCGCTTGTGTTTGTTTAACTTTGGATGGTTATCAAAGTCTGTCTTCTGAATATGTTAAAATTTAAAAGGTTTAATGCCTGCCTAATAATGCCATCAACCAACTAGAAAAATAATTGGAATATGTATTTTTGAGTAATATAATGATAGTAAAAAGCCAAAAAATAAAAAACATTCGTATTGTATTATTCCTTTCTTTAAAATACCTTTTTGCAATCATTAGATGATTTATTTTTTCAACATAAACTAAATTGTTAATTTTTATACACACTGCTAAGAAGATAGTTTGTCAAATACGATGGTCAAAGAAGATAATATTATATGAGTTGATAATAATTTTGTAGTTTTCCACTGCTTTAGTTTTTAAGTTGCAGTATTAGCAATAGATGTTCGTTACATGTGCGGATGCACCCGTCTATTATCGTAAAAGTGTATAGATATTAAATTTGAAACAAAACACAACTCATTTTCATTCTCTAGCTTACAATTTCCAAAAATTACCAGAAATTTAATTTCCTTGGAAATTGGAATACAATATGCGTTCATTGTGACACACACGAACTTTTAATTTATTAAAAAAAAAGGTGTAATACTTTCATTTTCCTATCAGTTCCTATAGCATAAAATTATATAACAACATAAAGATGATTCAATGGCACAAACGCAATAACAAAAAATAAAATCATGGCATTACTCAATCAAAACCAAAATATTCAAAAAAGAAAAGATACACAGAAACAACGATGTAAGATGAAACTATAGTGAGCCTCCCTTCCTCTCTTTCACTCTGTGTTATTCCCAAAAAGAATGATTAGAAGAAGCACCCAGGTGCAGTAAGCCAGTAACAAAAACAGCTTAAGACTTGGACATATGACGAATCAAGTCAACCACACGGTTGCTGCAACAATCCATCCACAAATTAAGTAACATGAAAACCAAGTTTTTGAGTAGAATCAGTATAGAATATACATACCTGTAACCCCATTCGTTGTCATACCATGAGACAAGCTTGACAAAGTTGTTGTTCAATGCAATCCCAGCTTTAGCATCAAAAATGCTTGACCTGAGGTCACCCACAAAGTCTGTTGACACAACATCATCCTCCGTGAACCCAAGGATTCCCTTCATGCTTCCCTCAGACTCCGCCCTACACAAACACAACAACATTTAAATTCACAAATCCATCAATTCCATGAATCATAAATGATTAAATTACTTGAGAGCAGCCTTGATTTCATCATATGAGGCAGCCTTCTCCAGCCTCACAGTAAGATCAACCACCGACACATCGACAGTAGGCACACGGAAGGCCATCCCTGTTAGTTTCCCATTAAGTGCAGGCAGAACTTTTCCAACAGCCTGATATCATATTATTCACTAATTATTAAACATTAATCCATATACTGTACTATATTATACATTAATTAATTACCTTTGCAGCTCCGGTGCTGCTTGGAATGATATTGAAAGAAGCAGCTCTTCCGCCTCTCCAGTCCTTCATTGATGGACCATCAACAGTCTTTTGTGTTGCTATATATACACACAAACACTAGTTACTTAGATCATAATCTGCAACCATCAACTATATATATATATATATATATATATATATATATATATATATACCTGTTATGGAGTGTACAGTGGTCATAAGTCCCTCAACAATACCAAATTTGTCATGAATAACCTTCGCCAGAGGAGCAAGACAATTAGTGGTGCAGCTGGCATTGGAGACAATGGTGATGTCAGATTTGTATTCCTTCTCGTTCACACCCATCACGAACATCGGAGCATTTGCACTTGGAGCAGAGATCACCACCTTCTTTGCACCTCCCTAAGGAACAAACAACATGCATTTTTCTCAGAACAAAATCAAAGATGAAGTGATATAAAATTCAGACCTTCATGTGGGCAGCGGCTTTCTCCTTATCAGTGAAAACTCCAGTGGACTCGACAACATATTCAGCTCCAGCCTCACCCCAGGGGATTTCCTCTGGATTTCTGTGAAACTGCCTATAACACTTTGCTCTTGTTCTAGGTGAATTAAAGAATGGAGAGAAACGTACCTCATGCCAAAAACGGTTACAGGTTTATCGCCAAACAGAAGAGTCTTGGAATCCTTCACTTTGATGTCTTTTTTCCATTGCCCATGCACGCTATCGTACTTAAACATGTAAATCTGAACAAAATCGGCATATATTATCCCATGTTATTTGCAAATCAGAACGCAATTGACAATCTGTTAGCGAGTAACAAATGATTGCCACGTACTAACGGAATAAATAATCAATCCATTAATCAGAAAAGACAATCGATTGAATCGCATAACAATCGAGACAATTATGATCTCCAGCGGTAGAATTGGGAAATGTATTATGCAGTCGGTAATAATGAAAATGGAATATACTATCAATCCATCGATCAAACAAAGAGTCGATGAAGGCGCATAAATAATTGAAACAATCACGTATTCCAGCGATAGAATTGAGACAAGTACCATGTAGTCGGTGGTAATGAAAGGATCATTAACGGCAACAAGTTCAATATCATCGCTCAGCAGAGCAACTCTCGCAACCAATCGGCCGATTCTTCCGAAACCTGCACCAAGCAAAAAGAAAATACATCAATCGAACACCGTGGAACAAACAACAATGGAATTGGCGATGGATCATAAACTAACCATTGATTCCGATCTTGACCTTTGCCATGATTAACTGAACTGAGAAGTATTGAGAAATAAGGAGGAATGTGTTTGTAGACTTGTTGTGATGGTGGAGGAAGTGAAGTGGGTAGTAGCGGTTATATATACATGAAAATGTGGCATGAAAGTTGGAGAAGAAGCGGTGGTGATGGCATTGCGACAGTCGCGGATCTAGAAAAGAAAATAGGGTATGCAAGTAGTAAACTTTGATTAATAATCAAACAAAAGAAAATAAAAGTTATTTATTATCGAAATAAAAATTTACAAGTGTTGTCGTCCATTGCTTATACTTTAGTAGTGATTAACAATAAGTTCATCACTAATTTTTAATAATAACTGATCACCCATGCTCTTACATAACTTGTTCTTCACAAAAGTCATTGCTGAAAATGATCTTTCTACACTAGCTGTCGCCACCGGGAGGATCAACACCAACTTACCACCGGGAGGATCAACACCAACTTAATAAGTAAATGGACATGATCAAAAACTTGATCTTTATTTGATCTCACCCAGAGACGGAGCTTGAACGATTCATTTGGGGGCCGAAAGTATTAGAAATTTTACAAAAATGCTTATTTCTACACATCTTATTTTGCAAACAACCCAAATTTTACAAAAATGCTCCTAAATCCTAACAATAAAAAACAAACAACCCAAATTCTACAAAAATGCTTATTTCTACAAATCTTATTTTTGCAAAATTTTGCAAAATTCTAAATTCAATTAACCAACAATGCTCCTAAATGTTACAAATTTTATTTATGAGAAATCATTTAACTAACAATGCTCCTAAATCCTAACAATCAAAAATCTAAATCAATTAACTAACAATTACATGATATAACATAATTGAAAACAGTCAAACATTGTTGATTTTGATTTAGGAAAAAATAATCTAACAGTTAAACATGATTGAAATCAATCATTGATTCCAGTAGGCCAGTAGGGACGCAAGGCAGTTAAACATAATTGAGACTTGAGAGATTATGATTTCTGCATTTTGAAGTCAAAAAAAAAAAAAAAGACAAACATGATTAAGTAATTGATGTGTGCATATTTAGCCCTATATTTAATATTGATTTTTATCATTTATTAGCTATTTATTTACATATTATGGACAAAAGATACTTAAAAACGTCTGAATTGTATTTTCAGTCCAAAAGGAGTGCTCAGAAGCAAAAGGAAGCAGGAGAAGCCATCGGAAAGCTTTGGAATGATCAAAAGAAGAAAACACCAAAAACCACAAGGGACTCGGCGAGTCTGGCACCGACTCGACGAGTCGCCACGAAGGTTCGCGAAGCTGAAGAAGTCTTTGACTTGCCGTACACGGGGATTTAATGAAGGACTCGCCGAGTCAGGCTTGGACTCGACGAGTCGGGTCAAATCTATAAATATAGCTTTTTAGATCGATTCACGTTTTTTCTAGAGAACCCTTGGAGAGAGAAGCTGCGAATAGAAGCCAGAGAAGACCTGGAGAGCGAAGATCCAACCCTAAATCCAATTTCGAAGGATAATTGAGGCAATTTACATTATTCTTTATTAGATCTAGTGTTTTTAATCATGTGTGAACTTCTAGATTTAGTTTTCCTGTGTTTAATTACCTCAATCATGAGCTAAAACCTTTTAGCTTCTGTTTGGGGGAGACAATGTTGAGACTATGGTTTGATTAATGGTAGGATTATTTTTATATTGGTGAATTTGTTAATCTAAGCTTGTTAAAGAACCTTATGTGTGAATGATAACTATTTTTCTGTTAATAGGAAGACAATTAGGTTGCATGAACATCTCTTAATTGTTTACCTCATATAATTCATGTGAACACTTTATTATATGTCTAGGATTAGCGAATGTGAAACTAGGATTAATAAGAAGGTAGGTAAATTTGCGTGTGAGCTTGTGTGACGACCCATCAACAAAAGGTTAGCTAAAAGACCAATTTAGCTAACCATTACAAGTCTTAATTAACCCGAATAATTAATCTAAGGAATTAAATTAATTTAGACAACTGGCCACTGCTTGAGTTAGTTTGTTTCCTAAGGATTAGTGTAGCGAATGTGAATCTAATCACCTAAATCGGTAGCCAATAGAAGAGTTAATCCATTGCACTATTACCATAAAATCAACCATAGGATCAATTGAGTCGAACCTGAACAGAAGTCCCTTTTTGATATTGAATTTTCGTTGATCTTTGCTTGCTTAGTTTCTAGTTAGTTAATTAGTTGAGTGTTAGTAAGTTTCTAGTCTTGAAAAACTAGAGAAACCCCCTTCTTTTATTATTTGTTAATTGCTTTTAGATAATTTTAGTAATTAGTTTTAATTGCCGTTCCCTGAGTTCGATACCCTGCTTACCAGTTCTATACCACCAATTGACAGGTCCACTGCCTTTTGTGTGATTAACTACTGCAAACAAAAAGAAAAACACGCGTAAAAAGAACAAAAGCAAAATAAAAACGAAAATAGTTGTTCAGCGACGGACTCGCCGAGTCTGTTCATGGACTCGACGAGTCCAGTCGTGTGTCCCAGATTATGATATTTAACGAGTTTCTGTGTTTTCTGGGGTGTTTGTTATCTGTTTGTGCAGGAAATATGTTTGGAAGAGGTCAGAGTTCTCATGGCAGCCAAGGGGATCACCCTTGGTTAAGCTTTCCTAGGGTTGAATCTAAGTCAACAATGTCTAAATGGAAGAAGACGCTAGCTGAGATAAAAAAGAAAGACATCTACGTGCCTAATGCCATTAATTGGGAATGGTTGGGGGAGGTTCACTATGAAGAAGAATTGGCTCCTTACTTGGTGCAAACATTTGTGCACAATGGGGTTTCTATTACCTGTGATGGTTGGAGTAGGCTCTTCAGAATTCAAGAGCCGGTGTTTCAAGAGCTTTGTTGGGAGTTTTTCTCCACCATTTCTTTCCGGGGCATAGAGGATCATTACAACCCTGGGAGTCTCACCTTTTGTCTTGGGGGTGAGGTGCGCAGTTGTTCTGTGGTGGAGCTTGCATGGAGACTGGGTATTTATGACCAACAATTGGTCACCACTGCCGAGTTTAGCACCTTCTTGCAACATTGTCATAAGGTGTTTCCAAACGGGGTTACTAGTTCGAGTTGGTGGAACACTATCGCCAACAAAGTGTATATCCCCAAATCCGCACAAGAGGGGAGCATTAGATCGCCAACCCACCGCCTTCTCCATCGCCTAATTTCCAGCACAATCAACCAAAGGAAGGACGATGACAAGGTTCCTAACCTTGATGTCTTTTACCTTTGGTGCATTATTACACCAAATACTTTCTGCAATATTCCTTGGTGTATGGCCGCTTACTTAAACGAGGGGGCAGTGAAGGACAGAAAAACTTCAAAAATCAATGGCGGTATGTACGGGTGCATGGGACATGATGACGGAGGTTCCTACTCCTTCTTTTAGCACCACCCTTTATAGAAGGGAAAGGATTGTGGAGGATATTGGTGGGGGGGGGGGCACTTTAATATCCCCCATGATGATGCGGTAGTTGGTCCCGAGGAGTCGGGTCAGCGAGTGAGAAGACGTGAACGGGAAGTTCAAGAGGAGCCGCCGGTCATTCCGGTTGACAATGAAGAAGTACCAATGGATTGGTACAATGTGGAGATGAGGCGACTTCAAGATCTTATGTCTAGGGGGATAAATTTTAGCAATGAATCTCACATTCGGCTCTTTGATCACTTTCATATTCCGCACCTTGATGGGGGTAATTTCCCCTACATTCCATCTTGGGATGAGATCATTAGCACAAGGCGTAGTGGAGCCGGAGGAAGCGGAGGAATGCATGGAGGGGACGATGATGAGGAAGAAGATGAAGACTAGTTCATTTTCATTTGTGTTTTGTTGAACAATATTTATTTTTATTTGTTTCTAGTTGTTTGTGTGAACTTAAAGTAATTTAGGATTTTTAGTGTTTTATTTGCTCACGGGTTGCTTTAGTCTTTTTCAGAATTTGGAAGGGGGTCAAGTTAAAAGGGTCTAGCAAGTTAGAAGTTTCGAGTCTAGGCGAAATGGAGGATGGCGTCCAATATCGAGTCCGGTTACAACGTATGTCTAAACGAGTCTAGTGACTGCAGAAGAGTATTAGAACTAATAATATTCTGAAGTGGTTAGGGAATACCAAACAGACCTGGAAGCAGAAAACGAATTATGATTTTTATATGATGAATGATACTTATGGTTTTTATTTATGATTTAAAACAAAATTTTTGGATCGTATTTTTGGGGATGTTTCATATAAACAATATATGATCTAAATAATACTCCCTCCGTCCCAAATTTATAGTCCATCTTTCCTTTTTGGTTTGTCCCAAAATAATAGTCCACTTCTAAAAATAAATAACATTTTTACCAAAATACCTCTCATTATTATCTAACAAACTAAACATTTAATGGAACATTAAATGCAAAGTAAGGACAAAACTGTCATTTTATTATATAACATTAATGGTAATTAATGCTTCCTTAATCTGTGTGTTTTTTGTCTGTGGACAATAATATTGGGACGGAGGGAGTATAAATTATAGTGTTGTTATAATATATTTTAAATACTCGCGGTATGGAGAATCCGGTTTGAAGGGCCGCTTGAGTTGTTGGATTTCAGAAGTGCTATAATGCCAAAATGGTCCTGCCATCTGGTGTTTTATGTCTGACCCATGTCTGTACATAGTAGTTGAAAAATATTGTTTAACATTATATAACAATATCGCTCGTAAATACTCACAATAAATATTAGACTAAAATCTAGGATAATAATACTATGTTTCGTCGAAGGAAAAGACGATTGTTAGAAGCGAAGCGATGTACGAGTTTCAAGTCATCATTTTAACAAGTGAGTGCATAGTTACTTTTATATTACACGTAGATATAAAGTATTTAATATAAATTACGTGCTATGTGTGCATATTATCTGCGTTCCTGATATCTTTGCTAGATGAACGATTTATACATGTTTACGTGATTTAAACTGTATATGTACTTTTATACTTATAAATATATATTAGGTAGCGACGGGTGATGAAGGAAAAGTGATGATAGAAAGGTGATGATAAATAGGTGACGTGAGATGTGAGGAGATGCCATAACCTTGACCTACGATGTTGCGATATGGCGATGTAGTCATCTACCATGGTATAAATGGTGACCACGGATTATTCTAGACAGTCATGTGGAAATACCAACATGCTTATAACCTGTAGGTGACGAATTACAAGTTCAGGCGATATTGTAACTACTTATTCATGCGATGATACTCTAACCATTACTTTGAATTACGAGTTCAGACGATGTTGCAACTACGTAATCATGCGATGATACCCTAACCCTTACTAGACACATATTGGGGGAGTAATCCCCGAATAAGTACTGTCTATAAAAAAACACCTCATTTCTTGCATCACGCTATAAGTGGTCCGCTCGAAATTATACACAAATCATAATTGACCAAAATCTCCAGATTTCTATTAGTTTCTTTGATGCCAACAACGGTAATATTACTTGATGAATTTCCAACAACAACGGAAGTCAAATCTATTGATTGACTTGAGAGCGTTTTTTATTTTTATTTTTATTTTTATCAAAGAGAGTTTTTTTAGTGGTTTGGTTTAGCCTCAACATCTAATGCCTATATATACTATCAAGGAATGGTAAATATGGATAAAATGGACCAAGAATCAAACATGCAACATCCTCAAACGACTATAAAGCCGTTAGAATAAGACAAAAAAATGACCATATTATTTCCCACGTAAACCGGTTTGCTACACCGATTCAGCGTAAACATGTTATAAACCGATCCTAACGGCTAGAAATACGAATAGATACAAATTGACGGTTTAGTTCGAGATCGATTCGCTTCACCAATGGACCGGTTCAGGGTGAACCGGTTTTTTACTGATCGGTTCGATTTGTGAACCGGTTTTTTGGTGCAAGTCTACCATGAGGTGGAGCACAAAGTCTATTCACTAGTTCTCTTATAGCATTCGAACTTGATTTTCATTTCATTAGAAATTTATTTTGTAAAAAGGTTGTCATGTGTTTATGCGAATTGACTTGAATTTTAGAATACTCTTGATCATTTCATATGTTTATTTGAATTCTCTCCTTATTTCTACACAATCTTACCAAATTTCTCGAGAATGTTTGTTTAAGGGTGCTAACGAAACTTACAAAATACAAAAATTAAAATCTACAAAAAAACCCACGACTAATACAAATAGCAAAACATATATCTATGTTTATGATTTCCAAGTTTTGAGTTTCCCATATGAACAATAATCGAAGAATAAAATATTAGACATTGATGATAATTATGAAGAAACAGAAATATTTTCAAAACATTGACATTAATTGTAATCATAAAGAACAGGAATAACCAAACAATAATAAGAACATACGAATAGTATAATACTTTTAAAGGGCACTATGATAAATTAATATATAAATTAATTAATTATATTTTAATTGTATCCTATATTTATATTTAGGGTAACTTGATCAAATATATCCCAAATAATAGATCCGAATAGCCCATTTCAAATAAGATCCGAATAGCTTAATTCAAATAAGATCCGAATAGCCCAATAATGAAGCCCGACAATGAAGTCCAATTAGGCGATTTTAACTTTTGAACCATAAAATACAATCACCTTTGTCGAACTTGAACAGTAGAAAGTGAAACCCCTACATTTTCGGCACCATGAAAAACTCTAATACACGCGTCTCATTCAGTCAAAGATCATGATCTTTATAGTATCGGAAATCGAAAGGAACTGTAAGTTTTTGTTAGCTTAATCACCATTTTCCATTTCGTTTCACTTGTTTTTCGACTGTAAATGTGATTTCTGTGTGTGTTGTGACTTGTTAGCTGCCATCGAAATGATTTCGTGTTAGTTGCAAATGTGATTTCACTTATGTGTCCTGTTTGTTTCGAGTCTATTTAAGGTTGCCGTTTATGTATTTCTAATTTTATTTCAACAGGCAACAACTCTGATTTAGGGTTTCATTTTTATGTATTTCTAAAATTCTTTCAACAGGCAACAACTAATCTGCTGAATTTGTTTTCTTTTTATGTTCGTTGAGATTAAATCTACTAGAGGGAGATGAGCTCGTATAATTACATTGTGACAGCTCAAAACCCTACTGCTGTCAGTCATTCATGCGTTGGCACCACAATCTTATAGTAGCGTAAGTTTTCGAATGTTGTTACAAATTTATCAAGGTTTATATATGGATTAGCTGCAATTACTTGTTAGATGTGGTCATTATCTATTCATCATTCATGTAAAAAAATGTCTACAGGAAATTTACACGCATTGAAATTTATTTGGTTACTGAAGAACGACCTCAGGTTGGATTTTTTAAATTATCTAACACTACTAATCTGTTGGATAATTGACACAACAATCATTTTGTGAAATACCCAAACACCCTAAAAACATGGCACTTGATGATGACTACAATCTTATGAAAAAAATGTGTAATCTCATCATTAGTTGTTTATTCCAATATAGAGACTTGATGTTTGTTATTGTGTGTTAACTTGAATCTTTAGTGTACAAAAAATCAAGATTTCATCTATTTGATGAACGATTTAGAACAACATTAATCGTCATACACTGGATTAATGGAAGTAAAAGGCATAAAAGAAATCTATCTGATAAAGAGGAAAACTGAACCTGCTACTACCATACTTTAGTGTGTTAAAGTTTGCAACACCATCATATGCCTTTGTTGTTTATTTTACTGCACTAAATAAATGGTCTCAGTTAGCATAGTCATTGTAGTCAAAGGTTGTCCTAGTTTTTAGTTTTATGGAGTCATGGTAGGTAGTTGAGTAAATCATGGAAGTCTATTTCCCATTCGTTCTCATTTGTAAGCCTATTAAAGGGTATGCTTGCTTTTTGAATATGTAGCACCAATAAATCATTCTTCTGTGCATATTGCTCCCTTCTTTTGTTACATTGCTTAATTATAATCCCTGTGCAGCTTTGTCTATAGTTGAGTTGTACATTCTGATTTTTAAAGGGTACTAAGTCACACTGTGTGCAATCTCAAAGTCAACATAGTGTACCTTTGAGAACCATGCATGGCCAGGCCACACAATATTTATAGGATCCATGTTACTTTGATTTAAACCCTCATCATTTGACAATCCGAAAATATATTAAACTATTGAGTAACCAAATATGACATGTTTGGAATTAATAAGTACCAAGTACAAAACAATACATCAAAGTACCAAGCAGGGAGAAGTTAAGTTGGCTTTTTCACTTATTACTTTTTTTTTTAATCTCCGGTCCTTGTGCATTAATTACTTTATGTTTACTTAACTTCTTTTTATGCAGATCTTGTCCAAGATACCAATATACCGAAATATTTCAACATTAGAACTTTTCCGCCAGTGAGTGAGTTGATTAATTGCTAGTTTACAAATTAAGATTCATTTGTTGCTTTATTTATGTTGTGTTGGTGAATATTCTTTTTTTTGAAGGGTGAAACACAAGATCTACTGTTGATTGCAATAGAAAGATATAAGTTTTCTATTCTTCAGTGGGATCTAATTGCAAAAAAAAATTGTTACAAGGTTTGGTCTTATTGGACAAAGTATTCATGTTTCCTTTTCTTTAGACTGCATCAATTGAAATAAACAAAGGTTAGCTGTTGAATATTCTATTGCTTTTGTAGAGCAATTTGTAATACATCAACCTCAGATGGCACAAGCTCAAGCTCAAGCTCAGACACCTCTGATGGAACAAGCTAAGACACAGCAGATGACGCAATTCCATACACCTCAGCTGGTCAGGTGCATATCCGGTTTTCTGAATGTGTTATGGGCACCAATATTGCTAAAATGAGACATAGTATGATATTTTCACATTTTTATAGCATTTTATGTTACATACCACCCTTTTGATCTTTTTAGGCGGTCATAGTCGACCCCGATTGCAGAGCCATTGTACTCCATGTGTATTGGAAACGGATCAAGGTAGTAGTCCTTGTGTAAGTCTTACATTTTCCACACACACATAGATATCTACTTTCATTGGAGTACCCACATTCTTCTTTTTCTACTTCAGGTTGTTCCACTAGATGACAAAGGACAACCTCAAGACCCGTTTACCCTCAAGTATGTGTTACTTTTCGGTTGATTTTATCCAAATATATATATATATATATATATATATATATATTTATATCTATGTCTAGACTAAATTTGAACATGATGATCTTTTGCAGGTTAAAAGATGTACATGAATTAGATGTTATGGATATCAAGTTTTTGTATGGGTGTAAAAACCCTACAATTGCTGTCCTTTTAAGTCCTGCAAACATTTTTGTAAGTTGCAATCAACCCCTGTTGAATTTCATATTTTATTTCTTTTAAATTCTAATTATATATGTCTTTCTTGCTTTAGTATTGAAGGATTAGTTACTCTCTTTTGTTGTTTAGATTCACAAGAATGAGTTTGGACCTGATCGGTATTGTTGCGTAAGAGCATATGAGCTCTCGTTGGAAGATACAAACTTTCTTGAAGTTCGCTGGACCCATGATATTGGTGTCACGGAAGCTGATTTGCTGATACCCGTTCCAACACCTCTTGGTGGTGTTTTAGTCATCGGGAGCAAGCAAATTGTGTATTGTGGTCTCTCTATATCTATATCGACAAACGTTAAACCTGTAAGTTGCCACAACTTGGTTCAACATTCTAAGTTGAATTGATAATTTTGAATTTCATAAATAAGTATGGACAAGTGATTATCAATGTGTTGTATGATTTGTGTAGCGTATCAAAAGATTCTATCAATATAGAAGAGGTGGTTTCGCTTTCGATGATCAGAAGGGTATATGGAGCGATCACTTTCACTTGGCACATAGAATGGTGGGTGTGGATGTGGGTGTGGGTGGTTGGAGGTATTTACTTTCTGACCATGTGGGGCGGCTTCGGTCGCTTGTCATAACCAGTGAGAATGAAAAGTGAGTTATGAATCTAGTTTTGTGTGTAGTATTGCTCTTTAAAGGCTAGTTGATGTTATTGCTTGCGATTGTTTTAAAAAATGCCTTCTCTAATCTCTATGTTGTGTCTAGAGCTACTGGACTTGAAATTCAGCTTCTTCGGGAAACATTTATAGCATCAACTATATCATATATTGGGAATGGATTGATATATGCTGGCTCAAGGTATGGAGATTCCCAGGTACGTAAAAAGTTCAACCTCTCTAGCTAATTCCTTAATTTGTTGAGACTTGAGAGTTTTTTCTAGAAAAAGAAAGTCTTGTTCCAGTTTATAGTAATATACTAGTATAATATGTAATCTAAACTTGTTTGATTCTATGTTTAAGTTGAATGAGGTGGTATCACATTTGATTAATTTCTTTTTTGTTTCTTGGGTCCATTGGCCATTGCAGCTTGTAAAGTTGAACCTTCAACCTGATACAGCAAGTTTAAGTCTTGAAGAGGTTTACATGAACTTGGGCCCAATTGGTGACTTTTGTGTGGCTCACTATGAGAGAGGTAGACAAGGTCAAGTGAAGGTTGTGACTTGTTCAGGAACAAATCAAGCTGGTTCCCTTCGCATTGTTAGTAAAAAAACTCAGATAAACGAACTGGTATGGAAGGGATTACATTTAGTTTACTATATGTATATTTGGTAACTTTGCTTATTGTTAGCTCAATGATATTTTCTGTTTTTTAAAGGCATCTGCGAATGTGGAACCTATCAAAGGAGTATGGTCACTGAGATTGGGGACAGATGATCATCATTTGGTTGTTAGCTTTGTAGACGAGACTGTTATACTTGCAATGAGTGTCAAGGAAGGGGATGGGCAAGATACTGTTATGCTAGTCAACACTAATATTGAGGACTTTTGTTATGAAGAACCGACTTTGTTCTGTCATGATGCCATAAATGATCAGTTTGTTCAGGTATGGATGAGCATGTATAGTTTTGACTCTCAAATAAGAAACAATCTGTTTGATTGTATCTAGATATTTAAAGTCATTGTGTCATCAAATTCCAGGTTACTTCTGAGTCGGTTAGGCTGGTGAGTTTAACATCAAGAAAGCTGGTACATGAATGGCGTCCACCTTCTAACTACTATATAAACGTTGCCACTGCTAATGCTACTCAGGTACATCATGCATAGTATAGTTTTATGCTTTTAAACTTTGGCCAAAAAACTTTCTTAGTTTTAGACTTTGGCCACAAATAACCTTAAACATTTGGCCACAAAACTCTCTTATTTAGACTCTAGCCACAAAATTTATTATGTTGGCAGATTTGGTCCCTAAACTTTCGTATGTTTGCACTTTCTTCCCCCTTACTTTGTCGAATACCACTTCCCACCCCTACTTTATAAAATGTCATTTTAACCCCCTCAAATTTGAACACTGGCATTTTTCACTCCTTTACCTTTTGTGTATTGGCATGTTTGCAAGTTTCACATGTTTGGTCCTTTTCATAAAAAATAAATTACAAGAACAGTCCTTGTTGTTTACAGAATAGGTCCATGTGTAGAATTATATTTATAGGAATGGTTCATATGTTTAAAAAAATCACATAAAACCCCCTTCCTAATAACAAAGTTTTCATAAGTACGCTTTGGTCCCTACATAGAAAATGAATTACGAAAACAGTCCCTGTAATTTACAAAAAAGGTCCATGTGTTTAAGACTTGCATATGTTGGCAGGTTTAGTCCCTGTGTAGAAAATAAATCACAGAAACAGTACATGTGTTTAAAAAAATTACAATAATGATCCCTGCCTAATACAAAATTTACAAATTCTCATCTAAATTTACAAAGTGGGGGGTAATATCACCCTAGTTCTTTTCTAATTCTCATATATATATATATATATATATATATATATATATATATATATATATATAGATATATATATATGTTTATTTCCCTGCTTCTCTATAGTAGTTAGTAATCTTAGTATCATTGTGTAACAGGTTTTATTGGCTGCTAGTGGCAATCACCTATATTATCTTGAAATAGGTGATGGAATCTTACTAGAGAAAAACAGCGCAGTATTGCAGCGTGAGATCTCCTGCCTTCACATAAGGCCGATTGGTGACATTGCGGCTGTCGGTACATGGATGGATGTTTGTGTGAATATACTCTCACTCCCCGATCTTAATCTCATCACAAAAAAATATTTCGATCCTAAAAGTATTCGGCCCTGTTCTGTTCTTTTTTGTGCCTTGGAAGAGGTTAACATTATTGATTTTTTTTTGGCTTTACCTTATTTCATTCCAATCTCTGTATCTTTATCGACTCTCTTTCTCTCTCCCCAGATATGTTACTTGTTTTGTGCGGTTGAAGACGGTCATCTTTTCCATTTTGAACTGGACACGAGCAACAAGTTGCAACTAACACATATGAAGGAGGTGTCATTAGGGACCCAACGATTAAGTCTTGAAGCATTTTCAGTGAAAGATAGAAGACATGTGTTTGTAGCATGTGATAGTCCGAGGGTTATCTATAGCAGTAATAAGAAGTTAGTCTATAGTAGTGTGAACCGAGAAGAAGTTGGTCACGTGTGCCCATTTAGCTCTTCTGATTTTCCAGGTGACTTGTTTTCAATTTGTAACATTTTTCCTTTGATAAATCTGTTAATTTAAATTCCTTTTTTTGGGTTGTGGTTTGGTCAACAGCCTTGTCTTTGTAGAAGGAAACAAGTTAAGTCTCGGAGCAGTTACTGATGAGGATTTCCATGTTCGTTCCATTTATTTGAATGAGCAGCTATGGTGTATTGCGCAACAAAATAAGTCAAAGACATTTGCAGTATGTGGTGAGAGTACCGTCTGATTATTAGATGATCAGACTTTTCAGACGCTCCATAGTTATGGACTAGCTGATGGGGAATTCGGCGGTTCGATTGTTAGTTGCTCATTCGCGGGCGATCCGGAGGAATATTATTGTGTGGGGACAAACACAGGCCATCTTATTGTCTTTGAGGTTAATGGCGGAAGGCTCGAGCCAACAGATAGGAAACGCCATTCCTCTTATGGAATCAACAACTTAAATGCTTACAAAGGTGGCTTATTTGTGACAACTTTTGGCAAGCTTTTGTTGATGAAGTGGAATATTAGTGCTGACGGCACGCGCAACTTAAGTATTCAATCTGAATATGAGTTGCCCGATCATGATCCAGCCTTGCAACCTGATCCAGCCTTGCAAATCCATGGGGATATCATTATGGTTTATAGCAAAGTGAGTGACCTCATCATGTATCAGGTACCCAACATACATTGTGTCCCATTACATTTATATCTAATCTGGAAAAGACCTAAGTTTTATAATTTATTTTCCAACAAAAACCATGAAGTTTGGATAAAATTTTAATTTGAACCTTTTCGAGAGAATAACCATTGTGAGTAAGGTCTTTCTTGGAAAAAACAAAAAAGGTTAGGGTTTTTTTGGGAATTTAATCAAGTTTCTATTTGCGAGACAGACCTTACAATCAATCAGCTATTCACTCAAAAAGGTTAAAATCAGAATTTCACCAAAAATAAAAATTTATGGTTTTTATGGCAAGAAAAATAAAAGTTAGGTCTTTTTTGTAATTAACCCTTTCGGGAATATATTATATATATATATATATATATATATATATATATGTCTACATTTGAAATGTAACTATTTTTTCAGCTCGAGGAAGGTGCTATAAAGGAAGTAGCTCGTTATAATGAGAGGATGAGGTCGGCTTTTATCGTTGATGACATTTATCTTGGAGCCACAAGTGACTGTCGACTTCTAACCATCAACGGCCAAAAGGTTGGTCGTGAATGTGAATCCCACACCGACGATTATGTGAACCGTTTCCGCCAAGGTTCCTTTGTGTTGCAAAGCGGTGTTGATGAACCCCCAACTATCATTTATGGAACAGAGAGAGGGGCCATTGGTATGATTGCTTCACTGCCAAAAGATCAGTTCACCTTCATGGAGATGCTTCAAAAAAGTATGAGAAAGGTTGTAAAAGGCATTGGAGGTTTTAGCCATGAACAATGGAGAAACAACCCGAAGAAGCACATCGCGTCAGACGGTTTTTTAGATGGTGATCTGCTCAAGTCATTCCTTGGTCTCGACATTAAAAAGATGACTGAGATTTCAGAAATGATGAAGTTTCCGGTGGAGGAACTGAGGAAGAGAGTGGAGGACCTACAAAGGTTGTATTAGGCGGCCTTAAGTTTTTCCAGCTTCATATGAAAAAGCTTTTTGTGTAGAGAATAATGCATACTGTCTAGTGTCTATTCTTGGCTGGGTATTATTCTTATGCTATATTGCTATGTTCTTGGTATTCGGTTGATGAATTCAATGAAATCAGTTAATGGTTAAGTTTTACCTTTTATATAAGTAAATACCAAGTATTGAAGCAAACATAAATGATGAAATCGTTAACATAAAACTTCTTGTGAATGCAAATTTAAAGATTGATTTTTTGGTTTGTGGATCAGCCAAATATCCCAATCCTTTTTTTATACACATCCAAAAGGATATAGGGTCAAAGTTGCGTCTAAAAGGTCTCCAATTGTTATATAAACCGTTTTTCTTAAAATAAATCAGTAAAAGAAAAACCGCTCAGGGTGCATAACCATAAATTTTAAATTGGACCTGATCGGTTGGATCATTAGAATGTTATAACGAATTGTAACTAGAGGTCCACAAACCTTGTTAATACCAAAAGTGGTTTTTTTTCCTTCAAGAATATGGATATCCGCTATAACTATTTATAGATCGGATGAAACCGTTTATTTAAAAATCTGCTCTAAAAATCTGAATTTTTTAAAAGCAGAATCTGAAGGTATTGTACAGTTACTAATCATGGTACATGACGGGCCTAAACTGCGCTTCATTTTCATTCCACAAAGCCAAAATATGAAGGTCATGAAATTCATCTACGGTAAACAGTTTGAGGCCATATAATTCCCTAATTCGCTACTCGGGGACAAAGTTTGTTGGCATTTACTAGTTTCATCCATTAAAACGCTATATAGTTGGGTATTCACATCCTATGACTTTTAGATGATTCCTGCTAATTGGATATTTCCCATGAACAGTTTGAGGCCATATAATTCCCTAATTCGCTACTCGGGGACAAAGTTTGTTGGCATTTACTAGTTTCATCCATTAAAACGCTATATAGTTGGGTATTCATATCCTATGACTTTTAGATGATTCCTACTAATTGGATATTTCCCATGAACCGAACTTTCATTCAATCAAGAATAAATAATACACAAGAGTAATACGGGCCGGCTACATGATGGGCTATGCTAAAGAACATGGACTACACTAAATGAATAAAACTAATACAACATAATGATACAAATATACATAGTCTAACAGCCCCCCACAGTTGGAACGGGTGTAGATGACCGAACGTTCAAACTGGATCGAAAATCAAGAAACCATGAAGACGGGAGACTCTTGGTGAAAATATCTGCATATTGAGATTTGGATGGAACATGAAGTACATGAACATCACCGATGAGGACTTTGCCTCTAACATAATGAAGATCAATCTCGATATGCTTGGCTTGTTGATGCTGAACTGGATTAGAAGACATGAAGACTGCTCTGACATTATCACGATAAACTATGGTAGCTTTAAGCGTTAAGTAGTGTAGCTCGAGAAGAAGATTAAGAATCCAACAAGTCACAACAGTGTTGTCAACGCCACGATATTCAGCCTCAACACTAGAGCGGGTGTAACGTCCCAAATTCTAAGTAAAACTTTTATTTTTAAACCGACAAAATCAACCATTCATTCATTCATTTCCAAAAGCCATCACGTATAAAATAATATTAATAGCTATCAGAGTACAAATCGAGTCATAAAATACGGAACACCAGTGGATGCGATGCAATCACGTCAAACTTTTCCCTTTGGAACCAAAAGTACGTGAAAAACATTTTAAATATAAACCGTAAGCACAAAGCTTAGTGAGTTCCCCAAAATACCACATACCATACATAAATCGGGCCTCGCCCGAGATTCATGTGGGCCCCGCCCCAGGTACACATAATGGGCCCCGCCCAACATACAAATAATGGGCCCCACCCAACAAACAAACATATAAGTATCACATAGATAACTAGCATCCTACAATATACTGAGAAGACTCACCTCACTTCGCTGACAGATAAACCCACACACACGAGCTGCTGGCACTATAACTCCTCATACTATACATATCCAAAACCAAACCCTAATTAAAAATTAAGGTAATTACCCAAAACTCATCAAGTCCAAAAATCAAGACAAATCCTCAATTGGGAAAAACACCATTTTTCCCTTCCAAGTCCTTAACCCCTCACAGTTGACCAAAAGTCAACTGGTCAAAAAGTCAACACTTAACCTTCTCTTGGTCTACGTGTTTCATACTCTTAGCTCTATGCTGGGCGTAGAGCCTTAGCCGAAAACGACTGCAACCAAGGATACGCTCGGTGTAGCTGTAACGTCCCAAAAAGGTCGAGTAAAAATTTCATTTTTTTATAAGTTAAAGGCATTCATTCATTCATTGTTCCAAAAGACGATCATAATCAAAGTATTCTCAAAACATCAGAGTAATTTGTAAACATTCAGTGCAAAATAAAACTCTAGGGGATGTAGTGCGATCAAGGCGGACCCTTCCTTTTAAAACCAAGTACCTGAAACCATAAACATAAACCGTAAGCGCAAAGCTTAGTGAGTTCCCCAAAATGCCATATACAATACACATATACATATAACAGCACGTGGCTGTGTCAAGTCCTCATCAACCCATATGACAACATGTAGCTATGTCGGGTCCGTATAAACCCATATGAAAGCAAGTAGCTGTGTTGGGTCCGTATCAAATCCAAGTCCATAATGACTCTATATAACAACACGTAGCTATGTTGGGTTCGTATCAACCCCATATAATACACCATATAGTCATATCAGCAAGAGTCATAAAGACAACATGCACATACAAGCATATCAATAAGTGTCACAAAGACCACTACTATCCTAAAGCATAATCCAGTGGGCCGACATTGGTGCCTTCGAACCACAAGCACAATGAGGAGACTCGCCTCAATCCGAGATAACTTAAACACACACGCGCTGCTGCCACCGGGTTCTTCACACTGAACACATCCAAATTCTCCTTAATTAATGGTTAGGACAACTTCCCATAATTCAAGGTCCAATTCATATATCCTCATAACAATGGTTAAAAGACTATTTTACCCTTGCTATACTTGCCCGACAAAGCAAGTCCCAAAACCCAAAATGACTCAAGGCCCAAAAAATGGCCCAAAAGCCATTCAGGTTCGTACACCTAGTGTACCAACCCGGTACACCCAACCCGGTACACCCAACGTACATCAGAAGCTCTGGCCATCGTTAGAGTTCCAACATGAGATGTATTTCCCATTGTTCAGTTAACATCTCCTCCCCAACTTGTATGTTTCCCTTGCAACTCTATCTATACATGTCCTTATCAAGGATCCAAATCGTGAATGTTGTAAATACTTAGCTATCTAACCCTAATGGAGCTGCTAACTATTGCCCCGGTACTGGACAAACTATCAAGTAAATGATAATAGTGGCAATAACAACACTACGTCTTCTAACCTAATGGAAAAAGAGGCCATTCTTGAGGTAACTGAGTTGTGTTTATTCTCACTAATCGTCATAGAACTACCCTTTCACATTCATGTTCCATAGCCAACGAATTAAGTGCACCTTGTTTGCAGTAGAGGATGTTTCATGGATTTTGGACAATGCTCATATCAAATTGTGGGTTTTCTCCATACTGGCAAGGATGTATGCACATCCTTCACCATTAATAATTTTAGGACTCCAAGTGCTTGTTGGTTAGATGGTGCCGATCCTCTTGCGATTCATATGAGGTATTCAAACCACAAGGATGGTAGATATAATTTATTTTAATGGAGATTGACAAGGACTGCTAAAGGAAACGATCGATTCAGATAGAGGTGGATCTATTAGCGTAATCTGCACACTTCCCTCCCATTCAAGAAGATTACCGAATGGAAAATCTTGCATGGATTTACATAGACGAGATCATAGTACGTCCTGGAGTACCTATTTCCATTATTTTGGATAGGGAGTCTCCTTGTGTCACAAATATGGTAGTCACTTTAGAAAGCCTTTGTACACAATTAAACATAAGTACTACCTACCATCCTCAGATGTATGGAAAATAGAACGAACTATCCACACTTTGAAATACATACTCCGAGCCCATATGATCAGTTTAGGAGGTGTTTAGAGCTCCTAGTAAAAATTTGTTGAGTTTTCCTATAACAACTATCATGTTAGTGTTAAATGTGCTCCCCTACGAAGCAGTGTACGGGCTTAAGTGTCGATCACCCCTTTGTTGGCTGGAAATTGGCGATAGCAATTAACGAGGCTTGGTAAAGATCAAGAGAGCACTGACAAGATCACGAAAATACATGATAGACTGAAAGGTGCTTGCGATCGTAATAAGAGCTATGTTGATAAGCATAGGAAACCCTTGGAATTTCAAGTGGGAGATAAAGTACTCTTCAAAATGTCGCCTTGGAAAAGAATTGTACGCTTTGGAAAAAGAGGAAAACTAATTCCTCGCTATGTAGGACCCTTCGATATTTTTGAGATGATCGGTCGAGTGACATATAAGCTCAACATACCAGAAGAACTTAGTGCGATACACGACATATTCCATGTGTCAAACCTCAAAAAGTGCTTGGTGGAGGAATCCCTGAACGTACCTCTAGAGGACCTCCAAATTAATGATCAACTAAAATTCATGGATGAACCCATAAAAATCATCAATCGGAAAGTTAAGCAGCTTAAAAAAAAGCAAAATCCTGATTGTGAAAGTTTGTTGGAATTCAAAGCACAAAGCAGAGCTACATGGGAACGGGAGGATTTCATGAGGAAAAAAAATCCTCAACCATCTTCTACATATGAACTAGTGGTACCGCCAGTTGAATTTCGGGACGCAATTTCCACAACTGGGGGAGACTGTGACACCTGTCAAAACTCAGGTTAGGACTCATCTAGAACCTTGTCATTTCTTTACGTGCACATAACTTGGCTTTAGAAGCAACAAGTTGAGCTAGATCGCGACTTACTATATGATGGGTTTTATACAAACAATCCTATGTGTGCATGCAACCCTAGAGTTGGATCTATGTTATCACTATTAGTTATACAACATTATGAACACATAATAAAACCCTAATGATGCTTACTATTTTTGAAATTAACCAAAAAGGTTAGATTACATACCTCTTGTTGTTATATTGTAATAACAACTTAAATCTTGAATCTTCTTGTCTTTGAAAGCAAGCACCACAAGTGTAG